TGGGTCCTGGGGGCTCAAGACTGATGGCGTGGGATCAAAAGAATGGCAAATACTGTGGATTTGATCTGGTGACGGGGTACTGTGCTGAGGAGTAGGCAGCTGCCTCTAATCTTTTTTTAAAAAAAAGAGCACTGCAATTGATTAGTAATGTCTGCCAGGCCCTGATTGATTAGTGGTGTCTGTCATGAGCACAGCATTGAGAGTAATAGTTGCTTGCTCAGCCTGGAATTGGGCATGAAACCAGTCTGGGCTTTAGAATTAGCCAGAAGATTGACTGACGGCTGGCTCTCTGTTCACCAAGTCTGTCACCCTGCGCCTCACTGTTCGCGTATATATGCCGGGCCTGACAAGGAAACCTACTTTACAGAGTTGTTTTGAAGATGGGAAAGAAGGAAATGAGAAGAAAGGTCTTTGCATATTGTAAAGTACTATTCAGCTGGAATTCATTCCCTTTCCTGCAGGCTCATAATTTAAAACGACTGGGTGGCCCTGGCTGGTGTGGCTCAGTGGGTGAGCATCGTCCTTTGCACCTAAAGTTTGCTGGTTCCATTCCTGGTCAGGGCACTTGCCGGCGTTGGAGGCTGCTCCCTGGTGGGGGTGTGCAGAGACAGCCGATCCATGTTCTACTATCACATCAATGTTTCTCTTTCTCTCTCCCTCTCCCTTTCTCTCTCTCTAAATATCAATAAAAATATTTTTAAGTAAAATAAAATAAAATGAGTGGATGGACGTGACAGCTGGGCCTGGCACTCCTTGCTTGTGAGGGGCCTGGGAACAGAGGCTGAAGTGGGGCACCCCATGCAGTGAGACTGCCCTGATTTCCCAGAATTATTTTTGTTTCCCAGAAACCAGGAAGGCTGGGCATCTTGCCTGAGACGAACACCTAAGGGGCTCATTAAGCCAGGGAGGCACATGCAAGACGTAACAAAGGAAAAACATTTGGGGGGGCAGGCAGCGGCTAGGGCCTGAGTGTCCCAGCTCCCAGCCCCCAGCCCCAGACCTGAACCCCAATCTTCCCCTCTCCAGACCCTGGCTTTGGGTGGGAAACTGTCAGCAAGTGTGCCTGTGGCCCCTCCCGGGAGGCCACAGCCCTGAAGGAAAAACCAAAGAAGGCAGTGTTTATGGCTTGATATCACTGAGGAGTGGCAGGGAGGGATGGACACAGAGTGGGTAATGTTTAACCACAAATGGCTGTGCAAGGCTTCCCACAGAAGTGGACCCCCTCCCAGGCTGGCACAGCAGCCTTCAGGGCCATGCAGTCCAACCTCTCACTTAGAAGGTGAGGAAACTAATGCCTGAGAGACCAGGTTGCCTGGTGGGGTGTGGGGCACACAAAGGGCACATGGATTGGCAGGGCAGGGGGTGCACTTCCTGTTGGGGAGACCAGAGAAAGCTTTCCGGAGAAGTGGGTGGGCTCGATCCCAGGCCTGGAACTTGATCTTGGGCAAGTCACTTAAGTAACCTCTTTATGCCTCATCTGTAAAATGGGGATAACAATATAAGGATTTGAGGAGGTAATGTATGTAAAGGGCTTAGAACAGTGCCTGGCACACAGGAAGTCACAGATGTTTATCTGTTAAACTTTTAACAAAGGCACTCAGTAAACACCGGATGAAATTTTTGTTCACACAACAATAGGCTTGTATTTTATTCATTATTATTGTTTAAGAAGAAAAAAGTTGTGGAACAGGGATGAGATTTGTTTTTCTAATGAAATACTTTAGTCATAAAAAAATGTTAACAACTGTGTCCATGTGTAGGAAGTAGCACTTAATGCCCTGGCTGGTTTGGCTCAATGGCTAGAGCGTCGGCCTGGGGACTGAAGGGTCCCAGGTTTGATTCCAACCAAGGGCATGTACCTTGATTGTAGGCTCCATTCCTGGCCCAGTTGGGGCTTGTGCAGGAAGCAACCAATCAGTGTGTCTCTCTCACATCAATGTTTCTCTCCCCCCCCACTTCTACTCTCTCTGAAAAAGCAAAGGAAAAAAATATCCTCAGGTGAGGATTAAAAAAAAAAGTAGTAGCACTTAACATTTGACATAAATTGCTCAAATTTTCTCAAGTTTACAAAGGAGTCTCAGTAAGAAATGGGCAATTAGGGCTAACTGAATTCTTAGTTTTATAAATGATCTAACTCAAGTTTAAGCCACTAACAAGTCTAGAGTGTTCCAGCTTCAGGCATGGCTGGATCATGATACCCAATCAATGTCATAAGCGGTCAGCGTCCCATCCCGCCTGCTCTGCTCTGGGCTGGCTACATCCTCAGGCAGGGGCCACTCGTGGCAGTAAGACGGCACACAGAAACACCAGCTTAGCTGCCCCAGGATAGGGGTGCATCTCTCTACCCTTTACTATTTTCCCAATCATTCCTGCAAAGGTCCCAGTCCTGGCTCTCCTTGGTCTGACGTGAGTCACTGTGGCCAGGAGATAAAGGTGAGACTGGCAAGGCCAGGTCCCAGGCCCTTCAAGGAGCCCAGGGGAGATCGGGTCAGCACCATCTTAACCATAGGGACTAGGGGTAAGGAAGGGCCACTACCAAAGGGCACCAGGGTGCTAGTGGCAGGAGAAGAGGGAACAGATTCTGGGCTGACACTGCCACCGTGGCTCAGATTCAGATATAAGTAAGCTGCTGCTCGGAGGTACAGCCCTTGGCCGAGGCACATCCCCAGGTGGGACAAATTCAATGCCCCATGTGTCTCTGACATCAAGACTGGGACTCTCTCCATTGCTTCCCAGGGACCTGTGGGTGGGAAAGCAAAGTCTTGCTGAGGGGACGATGCCAGGTGAACTGAATGCTGGACAGGGACTGGGGGCAGTGACGTGGGGACACCCTGGGGCATAGGGAGGAAAGGACTGACTTACTTCAGTGCAATACCTGTGAGTGCTCCTCAAAGCTGAACTCTGCAAATAGCAGGCCTCCCAGGAACTCGGTGGCTTCACCTGGGCTCTGTGACGCCATCACTGCTCAGTTTTTTGCAAGAGTTTGCACACAATCCTGCCCCCCAGTCCTGCAGGAGACCCCTGCTGCCTCCAAAGCTTTGCGCTTGGGATTCTCTGCTATTCCTTTAACTCACACAGCTTTCCAGGAAGCTGA